ACTTGATTAACTTGTCAGTTTACAACTGCAAAGTGTTTTTCAGTTTACAAAGGACTTAATCATGACCTCATCTTAATCTCTAAATTTTAAGACAGATAAAATGCATCCACATTTGAGGAATGAGGAAACTGTGTTTCAGAGACATATATTAGCTTATGTATGGCAACATAACTGTTTGGTGGTGAAGTTTGCACTAAAAATTAACTCTTTTTTTTTTTTTTGAGACAGAGTCTCGCTTTGTTGTCCAGGCTAGAGTGAGTGCCATGGCGTCAGCCTCGCTCACAGCAACCTCAAACTCCTGGGCTCGAGCGATCCTTCTGCCTCAGCCTCCCGAGTAGCTGGGACTACAGGCATGCGCCACCATGCCCGGCTAATTTTTTCTATATATATTAGTTGGTCAATTAATTTCTTTCTATTTATAGTAGAGACGGGGTCTAGCTCTTGCTCAGGCTGGTTTTGAACTCCTGACCTTGAGCAATCCGCCCGACTCGGCCTCCCAGAGAGCTAGGATTACAGGCGCAAGCCACCGCGCCCGGCCTAAAAATTAACTCTTGTCATTCCATTCTCAGAGGCCTCTTCTCCACTCAAAGCTCGATCTACCTGACATGAGGCCCTTGGTATGTTTTGTCAATCACATGCCACCTGCAGTTTTCAGCATAGAAGGGCACAAATGGGAAAAGGTGAACCCATTTTTAAAAAATTAAAGCACAAGAACTCAAAAGGAGACTCAAGCATCACATGATATCAGCAGAAAAATAAAAGCTATATTTAAAAACGTGATTATAGGTTGTTGGCACTAATTAATGTTCATTTATTTTTCCTATTCAGGGACTTAAATAGTGTGAGCTAATTGATGTAGATGCTAGTTCAAAACTTTTCTAAATATATATTTTAGGTAAAGAAGCTCCAATTACTGGGATGGGATTCTATTTTTTTTTTGAGGCAGAGTCTCACTTTGTTGCCCAGGGTTGGGGTACCATGGCATCAGCCTAGTTCACAGCAACCTTGAACTCCTGAGCTCAAGCGATCCTCCTGCCTCAGCCTCCTGAGTATTTGGCACTACAGGCATGTGCTACCATGTCCAGCTCGTGTTTTCTATGTATATTTTTCGTTGGCCAGGTAATTTCTTTCTATTTTTTTAGTAGAGACGGGGTCTCCTTCTTGCTTAGTCTGGTCTCGAACTCCTGAGCTCAAACAATCCTCCCACCTTGGCCTCCCAGAGTGCTAGGATTACAGGCATGAGCCACTGCGCCCGGCCACCAGGATGGGATTCTGTCTTCTCAATGGTCTATGAAATCTCCAAGATTCCATAATTCAATCAATCTTAAAAGCATTTAACAAGCTTTCCATTATCTCTAGTTTGGCTAAAATTCAACATGCTGTCTGGTGCATTGAGTTTTAAGATATCTACATTACATGAAAGATCCTAAGACAGTTTATAAAAAGGAGAGAGGTTCGTTTTGTTTTGTTTTGTTTTCTCCTGGTGACTTTTCCTTGTGAAGATGAGATTTCATGAGTTACTGTGGGCTACTAAGTAACACTGATCCAGTCAGTAAGAAGAAGTTTTAAAGATAAATTGTTATTCATCCACCATGAGGCATTTTTCAGTTAGGTCCAGGAAACATTTTTTCATAGCTCTACTGCATGTATCAATAATGTAAGGACACATGTTTGTTTTACAGGAAGAAAGATAATTGCCCTGCAAACATGCTGGCGATACTGTAAGTTGATTTGTAACAAGCCCCCAGACACATTTGAACATGTGTCTCCCATGGTAACAGTAGAAAGTCTCCCTGCAACTCATCTAGGCACACAGGGCAAAGTCTTCTCTCTTGCACAGCTGAAATGGCCAGAGAACTCGGCAGCACTCATAGAGCCCGCAATACCATTTTAAGAAGCGTCTGTGAAGGCCAACGAGCTCACTGTTTCCACTGAAACTGCGGCCACATCGCGCACTCCAAACATTAGTCACTGCGTATTTACTAACTGTTCAGTGTGCATCCTACTTGCTCGAGACAGCAAGGGCTGGTTTCTTTTGAAAATACCAACAGAACAGACGATTCAGTCACCCTAGAATGGCTCTCTGGCTCTGTGTTCTGCAACGTGAGCTGGTCCGAGAGAAACCAAAAATGGTGAAGTTGGAAAATTTTTCTTGTCCTTTGAGTTTCCTTGGCATGCTTCAGTTACATGCTGGGGTTAGGGAAAGCTTATAGTTTACAGGATATGTTGGTCATGTTAGACAACCAGAGAGACATGTTAGTTAACCAGAGAGACAGAATATGTGTGTGTGTGTATACACACACACACACACACACACTTATGTATACACACACACACACACAGACACACACACACACACACAGATTGATTTAAGGAATTGCCTCTTGTGAGTATAGAGGCTGGCCATTTGGAAATCTGTAAGGCAAACCAACAGACTGGAAATTCATGTAAGTGTTAATGATGGAGTCTTGAGTACAAAAGCTAAAAATTCAGGCAGGAATTCTTCCAGAGACAGAATTCCAGGAAACTTCAGTTTTTGCTTTTAAGGCCTTCAACTGATTGCATGAGGTCTACTGCTATGGACTGAATGTCCACATCCTTTGCACTGTTCCTATGGTGAAATCCTCACTCCAAGGTGATGGTGTTTGCAGGTGGGGCCTTTGGTATTAGGAGGTGATGATGTCATGAGGGTGGAGCCTTATGGATGGGATCAGTGTCGTTATAAAAGGGACCCCAGAGAGCTCCCTCGCCCCTCCCACCATGTGAGGATACAGCAAGAAGGTGCCATCTGTGAACCAGGAAGTGAGTCTCCACCAGACACAGTCCCTGCCATGCCTGGATCTTGGACTTCCAGCCTCCAGAGCTGTGAGCAATGAATGTCTGTTGTTAGGCCACCCAGATTGTGGTATTTTTGTTATAGCAGTGGACGAGGACAGCCACCCACATCATGGAGGACAATCTGCTCTTTCTCAAAGGATTGATTGTGAACATTAATCACATCCACAAAAATACAGTCCCGGCAACATCCAGACTGGTATTTGAGCAAACAATGGGGCAGCACAGCCTGGCCGAGTTGACACTTAAAATTAAACAGCCCGGATGAGAAAGCAGACTAAATTTTATCAAGAAGCTTGATGAGCAGAAGAGTAAATAGCAAAGGGTGGATAAGAACATACTCTGCAGAGGGAACAGCATGTGCAGAAGCTGGGAAGAGCAAAAGGTCACAAAGACGTCACTCAAGGGATTCTACGGGGATTGGAGCGCGTGGTGTTGCTAGAGAAGCCGTAAAAGAAGGACACAGGCAGAGAGGAACACTAGGGAACTAGATGTCAGTAGCCCTGTTGGTCTCAGTGAAAGCTGTTCTTTTACTGAAAGTGGGAATGTCTCCCTGCAACATTGGAAAACTTTACATATCGGTGACAACCATGGGTGAGAGGCAACACTCCAGGACTTCCAGTGGGACATTTATTGTTATTAATATATGTTTGTGGAAGGAAATACAGCAATGTGTAGCAAAGGCTTTAAACAAATGAATACTTTCTGACTTAGCAATCCCATGCCTAGAAACATACTTTAAGCAAACAATCAGTGATGTGTGCAAATATTTAATTTTATGTCATTCCAAGTTCTGTTTATTAACAGTGGAGAAATATACATAAGCTAAATGCCCCAAAAGGAGAATTGGTATAAAATGAAAAGGAGCTGAGTCTCATCGTAGCTATTTCATGATAGTTGTTCCAGGACAGCTTATGACAGAGGACCACAGGTGCAGTATATGAATTAACAAGACAACTTAAAACTATTTTGTGGATGTAAATATAGCTACAGATACAAATATATTTAATAACTACAAGGATATGTACCCAAGCCATAATAATGGTGCAATTACAGGTAATTTACACTTTCTGTCTTTGCACATGTATGTATCAAATATGTTATTGAACAAAAGTAGTAACTTTTCAGTGTATCAAATATATTTTTAAACGACAAAAAAATAGTAACTTTGCAGTGGAGAAACGTGACAAATACTGCCTCAGACAGGTGATCCAGGTGGACACCAATAGAGACGCATCATGTGGGTAGGAAGTACCCTTGTAGGATGTGATAAAAATGGTGGTTTACCTCTGTCTTCCTTCAAAAACCTGTAACCCCAGACTAAACATGAGGAAACCACCAGACAAATCACAACTGAGGGTCATTCTACAAAATAGCTGAACAGCAACCTTCAACACTGTCAATGTCATCAAACACAAGGAAATCAGGGAAACTGTCACAGCCAAAAAGAGCCCAAGAGAACAAGATGATTAAATGTGATACAGCATCTTAACTGGGATCCCGGACCCGAAAAGGATTGGTAGGTAGAAATGAAGACACTTTGAACCATTATGGTCTTTAGTGAATGGCAGCGTATCAATTTTGATCAATTGTGACGAATGTGCCATGCAAGCGTGTAGGGAGGTGCACTTTGTGAAGGAGAACTTGGCCAGAACAAATTTGTTTTCTAGGTTTAAAGAGCTTACCAGTTTCAAGTCCTTCATCCCATCTTCCCCCACTGCCTGGAAAGGTGCAGAAAAGGAAGGTCTCATTGGAAATTAAGATCCTCTCAGGAGTCCAAAATAGGCATCTTTTAGTAACATCTACTCTCGAGTGTGTCAAATTCTCCTCCCCATCTCCATCCATAAATGCAGTTTCTTTCCAGTCACCCTGCTCCATGTCTGTGTCCCCACTGGTCTCACTGACTGGCAGTTGAAGGGTGAGAGTGGCAGATACTTCTTGCCTCTTAACTATAATTTCCTATAATGTATCGCAGCGCAGGTGAGCCAGCACCTGTCTTAAGTTTTAACCTTCCCCCAGGCTGAGGCTTGGATACATCTCTCCCCTCCCAATTGGTGCACACCCCAGCCCACAGTGACATCACGGTGAGGTGGCTCTGCATGTCTGTGATGTCAGGGGTGTCCAGGACGTAGACCAAGGTGCTCACAGTTGTGAGGAGGGATGCCTTGACCCTTCTGGGATTTTTGATTGTGAACATTTTCACAGTTTGTAAAGCACGTAGCTGAATCGCTTTTCCGAAGAGCTGTGCCAGTCTCTACTCCAATCAGCAATAGAAGTAAGGGGGCATTTTTGTTTTGTTTTTTTTTTGTTATGAGACAGAGCCTTGCTCTGTTGCCCAGGCTAGAGTACTGTGGCATTAACATAGCTCGCAGCAACCTCAAACTCCTGGGCTCAGGAGATCCTCCTGCCTCAGCCTCCCCAGTAGCTGAGACTACAGGTGTGTGTCACCATGCCCGGTTAATTTTTCTAATATTATTTTTAGTTTCAGCTAATTCTTTTTCTTCTTCTTTCTTCTTTCTTTCTCTTTCTTTCTTTCTTTCTTTTTTCTTTCTTCTTTCTTTCTTTCTTTCTTCTTTTTCTTCCTTCTTCTTCCTTCCTTCTTCCTCCTTCTTCTTCCTTCCTTTCTCTCTCTCTTCTTTTTTTCTTCTTTCTTTCTTTTTTCTTTTTTCTTTCTTTCTTCTTCTTCTTTCTTTCTTTCTTCTTTGTAGTAGAGATGGGATCTCGCTCTTGCTCAGGCTGGTCGTGAAGGAGCGTTTGTTTTGAAAACTGCATTTTTGTGTGTTGGTTGGCTGGTTTACTTCCTATTAGCATATCTTGATTATGTCTTGCCTGATCTTATTTATTTATTTATTTATTTGCATCCTATTGGTATATCCTGATGATGTATCTTCTGGCTGGAAGGTCTGTGGGCTCCTTCTTCCCTGAGAGGGTTTTTTTTTTCTGGTTGCATAATACTGTGGTGTTGGGGACAAGGACAGTGTCATGGCTTTGGGGTCTCGCTGCACATATAGAAGGGGGGGGTACAGGAATAGATGAGACAGGAAAAAGTCAGGGCAGTGGGAAGGAGGATCAGGTGACGGAAAGAATATCAGAGTATGTTTCAGGAGGATGGACTTTAGCCCTTGTGCCCTCTGCATCTTGATGGTGACTTCATTCAGGCCGGCAGCTATGGGGTTCTGTGTTTCCTTCTCACAAGGAGGAGTGTGCACTGGATGCCCCACAAGTCACCTTTGGTTCTGATGTTTCATGGCTACAACTGTTAGGTGCCTCTGTGTGGATGTTCCCTGGTTCCCCTGGGGCCCAAGGTCAAGAATGATTACTGGTATGGAGTCAAGCCAATGAGGAGTGATCACAGACGGAGCAATTCTATACAAATAGTTTATCATATAAAACAAAGAATGAAAGTAGAGAGGGAAGCTATACAAAGTGGAAACACATTCCAGAGACAGCCGAACAGGTTACGACCCAGGAGTGCAGAAAGACGCCGCAGGCTCAGCTGCCTTTTATAAGCTCACTAGTTTGTCCCACCTTTCCTCTGGCAGGATTGGTTGTCATTTACTGCCTTCGGGGTGATTGACAGGTTCTGGTTATACAGCAGGGCACATAACTGGTTGGTTATGTACAGTTTCCCTTTCTGCGCATGCGTCTTTCCCAGAATTCTTCACGAAGCTCCACCCATGTTATGGTAATTAGATGGTAATGAGCTCTAGGTCAACCAAAGGTTACTAGGAACTTTTTGCCTTGTACGTTCCCCCCAGGGAACAGTTCCTGGCCGCAGTTTGGTTCCTAGTCACAATTCGGTTCCTGTTCTCCACCCTTAGCCACTTCCCTTGTCACCTGTTTATCCTCTGCCTGACCTAACACAACTGTACCAGAAAAATTCACAATGACGCCGGAGGTTGGTCCTGCCACAACCAAAGGGGACGTCAAACCATCTTAAATTCAAAAAGGCTGCGTCGTGTTGATGACTGGGTCAGAGAATGATGAAAATGATGAGACGTGTTGGGTTTGGTATGGGAGTGGTGATGAATTTATTCATTCAACAAAAATGTGTGAACGTGTTTGGAGTTAACAAAGGTGAGGAAAACAGGGAAGAGGGAGAGATGGAAGCACAGTGTGGAAATGGGAAGGGAAGCCTTGAGCCAAGGCATGAGGGCAGCCTCTGGGAGCTGGAAGAGGCCAGGAAATAAATTCTCCCCCAAATCCTCCAGAAGGAAAGCAATCTTGCCAACTCCTTAATTTTAGCCCGGTGAGCACCATGTTGGAATCTTGACCTCCAGACTCAGAGACAGTAAATCTGTGTTGTTTTAAGCCAGCAAACTCATGGTGCTTGGTTACAGGAGCCACAGAAAACTAACAAGAGTTTAGTTCTCTGATGAATTGTTTCTGTCCCCTTACGAGAAAACTCCCATTTCTGTAAAGGAGCAAAACTCTAGAAAATCAGTCTTGTTGAAGACTGGCCATTTCCACTTATCCAGATAAATGGAATTGGGTACGGCCCAGCCGGTTCTGTTCTTGAAGGCAATTTCCTGGCTACCAGCCCTGGTGAGAATTCCTCGGAGTCAGCAGGTGTAAGAATTTACTGCCCTTGATGGTACCTTATATCACACCAGATTTCTTAATTGAAAATGAAATATCTTAATATGAAAAGTGGTATATGTTAAAGTGACTGCATTGATTAGCCTTAATATGCAATCAAATCTGGAGCACATATTTTCTTAAATAGTGGTATAGTCCTCTTAAAATTTTTCTAGGTGGTTTTTTATACGTAAGCTGAATGACATATTTATGTATTTTTTTAACTTATGTATTTCTAAAGCAAGGGAAGGTTTCCCTTTCAACTGAAGTATTTCCCCTCCCTTTTTGTTCCTCCTACAATGTGAATATATGTATTGATAATTTGTATTAAACAGAGCAAGAATTGAGAATATATGATTGTTAATTATTTCTGCCCAATTAAAAAAAAAAAAAAAGAAAACATTGAACTGCATATAACCAGTTGGAAACACTGTGTTGCAAAATGTGTGACCCCTGAACAGCAAGATGAAGATGATGTGGGAATCTCGTAGAAAGGGCACATTCTCAGACCCTTCAACAGACTTATGAGAGAAGCTGACGAATTCAGAGGCAGAAAGAACCTAGGGTAGAAAACAGGAAAATGCGATTGTTTGGAAGATAAGATCCACACACCTGGGCATCCTGGAGTTGGTGGAGCTGTTAGGATTTCCAAGTCTTTCTCCCACTCACACCCCGCAAATTGCTACTATCCTGGAATTCTCCTTTTTCTTAGTCCTTTAAGAAGAAAAAAATTATTCATTTATCGTTATAGATTGTTCCTTCTGATGCTTTATGAAAAATAAAGGAGAATGAATGAAGGAATAAATAAATGAATGAATAAGTAAGTAAAATAACATCCTCAATCCAATTATCATTTCTCAGCCTGACTATTGTCTCTCTCTTTAAAAATCAATTTTTTTCATCTTGTTTTTAGATGTCAGTATTGGTTTTGGATTTGCTTTGTCTCAGGTCTCTTATAAGCCACTTTGATTTGGTTTTCTCGCCCTTTGCTTTTCCACAGCTAATGTGGTAGGGGTTTCTTTTCTTTTTTCAGCTTTTAATTTGTTCAATGTCAGAATAACCTTAGCACATAATTCAGGACCAACATGGATTTGGTTTTGAATTAATAGGCTAATTGCTTAATTTTCATTTCACTTTGGGGTGTCAGGATGTAACTAAAGAATGTTCCAAAATCAAACCTGTTTTGTGACCATTTCTTTTTAACCCTAGCCTTGAATAGTCTGCATGTAATACAGGAAGATAAATTGGCTTCATAACTGAAGAATACAGGTACACGTTTTTACCATTAATTACGAATAAAACTTTGCAATGCATATATAAAGTCAGTAAAGAATATTCAAGCTATTCTTCATTATGACAAATCCTTTATTGTGAAGTCAGTGAGGAAAATTAAAAACATATGCATAAAGGCAGTGATACACTACCTTGGCAGATAAATATGCCCTGAAGGCATTAAGATATTTATAATACTAATATAAGTTGGCCACCATACCCATCACTTACAAAGAAATACAGTTAAGGAATTTGCGAACCCATAGGCTTTTCAGGTCTTGCTACTGTTCTTGAAACACTAATATTCACATTGCCTGGGAGCTTATAGGAAATGCCAAATCTCAGGACTCAAATTGGGCCTATTATAGAACCAGCACTTAAACAAGTTTCCCAGAGGCCAGGAGTTCAAGACCAGCCTGGGAATCATAGCTAGACCTTGTCTCTACAGAAAATTTTTAAAAATTAGCCATGTGTGATGGTACATACCTATAGTCCCAGTTACTCAGGAGGCTGAGGCAGGAGAATCACTTGAGTCCAGGAGTTTGTGGCTGCAGTGAGCTATGATAATACCACCGCACTATAGCCCAGGCAACAGAACAAGATTGTTCTGTTATTCTGTTATTCTCAAAAATAAATAAAATAAAATTGATAAACAATGCTTTAAGGGCACTATTCCTTGAAATGTTGATGCTACTTCCTGATCCAAAGATATGTGCCTCCCCATTTACTTTTACTTTATTTTACTTTTAAGAACTGCAAAGAGAGGAAAATCTTTAAAGAAGGTTGTTATCACTGCATATTAATAATTTCGTTGCTTTAAAAAAAATGTCCGCAGGGTAGAACCACAGACTGGAGATTCAGGTAAGTATTGAAGTTGCAGAAATAAGTTTCTGTTGTTTATAAGCTGCCCAGCCCATGGTATTTTTTTTTATAGCAGCCCAAATGGACCAAGACGGCTGAATTAAAACTTGTGTCTTATCGTTGCTGCTAACCTTGGTAAGGAAGATGTCCTGGAGAAACCAGAGCACTTCTTCGCAGAGCTAAACACACACAGCTGGCCCAGGAATCAGATTTTTCTGAAGGAGGATCCAGGAGCAGGTGGAGCGGTTGCAGACCTGGCCCATCACTGCTTCACGCCAACACGGTGAGTCAGCAGATGAGTAGCTGGCTGTGTGAACTGCAGAATTGCAGCTGCTTCCTTTTTACCTTCCTAATTCCCCCAAGAATCTCCTCTGTGGAGATTCATACAGAAACATATAAGAAATGGAGTTACTGGAAGTCTAATTCAGCAAAGCTAACTTGACACGTTTCAAATCCACCATCGCCTATCCTTCTCTCCTCTGTGACTTCTCTTGAGTTCATGTTGCATTTAACGACTAGGATCTCACCACTTGAGAAGGGCGAATAGAAACTTAAATCAAAAGCAAGTTTTCCTGCCACAGGTCAAGTGACCTTTCAGAATACAAAAAAGATGTAAAATGCCAGAGTAAGTGTTGTATGATAGGACAGTATTTTCCTAAATCCTGTGTCTGGTCCCAGTCCTCTATTGTAGTTCACTAAAACTCGTGTCTCCTCTAGATAAATACACGAGCTATCTCTGTCTGGATGATTTTAGGTTGTAACTGTCGGATTGGAATTGCAGGGATGGAGTAGGTGATATGAACTTGTATACGCAAAGAGGTTCAGGCAGAACGTGCTTGGGTAAGCAAAATGCCACCCCTCATTGTTCGTGTGGCACATTTGGAAAATCTGGCCACTTTGCCCTGCCCTCCAGAGAGATGCATGACAATCATCCAATTTCAAAGAGAGGATGTTAAGAAATGTGTTCCCCTGAATCCACATCATGTTTTTGTTTCTAGACACTAACCTAATTCTTCCATGAGACCATTTAACTTTTTCCTTTTAAGTACATGTTTATAATATTTCTTCAATTTTTTTTTAAAGAAAGCCTTTTCTTTTGTTGGCCAGTAGCTGGAGGGATGATAATTACTCTGTATGTATAGAGTAGTAAGTATCATTAGAATTCTGAATTAAAAATAAGATTAATGATTTAATTTCAATCAGTCAGGATGACCCATTTTAAAAAATACTGATGTGATATAATGCTGTAAAAGATTTAAGCATAATTTATTGATAAAACCATTACAACTGGAATGAGAGAGCTATTTGTCTACATAATGGTTCCTGAAATCACAGATAGTACTTTCCCATTATTTCACTGCAACATTTATAATTCCTTTTTGGATTTACCATTTATTTTTTTTTAACAACCCCATATGCTACTTATTATGTGCTAGGCAGTGTGCCAAGGGTCTTGCAAATACTAACTCGTAGTCTTTACCACCATCCAACAAGGCAGTATTATTGTTATCACTCCATTGTGCATAAGGGAATGGAAGCATAAGCAGCCCTCATAACTTGCCCACATGACCACAGCAGGTGAGTTTTGGAGCCATGATATAAACCCATAGATTGCATAACTAATGTCTGGCTGCCTGGTCACTGTGCCCTAGTGCTTCTCCACCATAGAAAAACCAATGAGAACTCTGACTGAATGCAGTAGCAGAAGCACTCTTGCATTTGAGAAAGTAGCTAGATGGCAAGATTTTTGGTGTTTTTTTTTTTTTTTAATCTTGTGTACATAAGGTTCATATTTCTCATGGTCAGATCAAGCATTGCTGAGCCTTTTCTCCTCAAAAGGATTTTTTATAAATTTGGATGTAGAAAGTTAAGACTCGTATTTCTGGCTAAAAGGGGGTACTAGGTAATTATCTTCCCAAAAGAAGGGAAAAAAATGATAGAATGTAAGACAGTAGTTTTCACTGCATATCAATCAACAGAGAAGTGATTCCAGAAAGATAATTAAATTATCTTAACAGAAAACTACAGACTAATATTCCTTATAAGCACAGAGACAAAGTTTATAAATGCATTTTTAGCAAATTGTATCAAAACTACATAAAAAGGTAATTATATAATTACAGGGGGGAGTCATTCTAAGAATGTAAGGTTGTTTTACTATTCAAAATTAATCAATACCATATTAACATTAAAAAAGAAAAAAATGATCATTCTAATATTTGAAGAAAAATACTTGTAGCAATTCAACATTCATTCCTGATTTAAAGGAAAAAAATATGCTCACCAAAATGAATTTTCCCAATCTGGTAAAGGGCATCTAGATAAAACTTACAACTAATAACATAATGATGAATTCTCACCCCCAAATTGGAAACAAAACAATATGTCTCTCTCACCACTTCTATTCACCATTGTACATGAGACCCCATCAGTGAAATAAGGAAAATAAAAACTCTACAGATTGGAAACAAAAATCAAAACTATGTCCATTTGTAGATGACATGCTCGCCCATGTAGAAAATTGGACGGAATATACAAAATAGCTACTAGAATTATTAAATGCATTCATCAAGGTTGCAAGATAAAAATCAAGACACTAATAAATTGTATTTCTATAGTCTAGCAATGAACTTGGAAAAATGAAATTTAGAAAACAGTATCAAGACAACAATACCAAAATTATGCAATACTTAGGGATAATTCCAACAAAACATGTTCAAGAAAGGCCTGTACACTAAAAAGCATTAATACAAAATGTTGCTGAGAGAAGTTGAAGGAGACCTAAATCGATGGAGAGGTATAATTGCTCACGGTTTAGAAGAGTCAGTGTGGACAAGGTGTTGGTTCTCCCCACATCAATAAGCAGATTCAACACAATGCCAGTCAAAATACCAGCAGGATTTAAAAAGAAAATGATAAACTTGCTCTACAATTCATATGTAATTTTAAAGAACCAAGAATAGCTACCTGCCTTTCCCCATTGCCACTAAAAAAAAAAAAAAAATTAAATGAACAAAGTTGAAAGTCTTACATTACTCATATGAAGACATACAAGCTTACAGTAATCAAGACAACCTAATATTGCCACCAAGATAGGAAAAAGATTAATGGAACAAAGTAGAGACTTGAGAAATAGACACACCAAAATAGGGAAAACACACACGCGTGCACACACACATAGAGTTAAATTATTTGAGGGTCATGGAGAGGTAGTTTTTGAGACACGTGTCACCAGCCCATGCTTCAGGCTTCTGTGCGGACAAAATGATGGAACTGTTTCCAACTAAGCCTTCATTTCCTCTGGACAAAGAATCTGAGGTAGCCATTTCTAGCTGAGCATAAGTCTCACATTGGATAAATCCAGCTCACCATCTCTGATGTGGTCCCGCCCATGCCTCACTCTACAGGTGAGAAAGTCATGGGGGCAATTAGAAGACTGTTCAGGACAAGAAGCCATGAGCTTAATTCCAATCCAAAGTCTGCTATGTGGCAGGAGAGCAGTCAGAATCATCGGGTGTGAAACTGTGGGGGATGGGCACAGGGTACAATGCAATTAAAAAGAAAAGGCTAAATTGCCTAAAATTAGACTTGTGCCATAAAATACTTCTATTTGATCCATCCTCGAATCTCTTAACCTATAATATTTATGATCTAATATATTTAACAAGAATTGCAGACATTCTAATCATATTTTATCAGAAACGATGTATCATGCAAAAATGTACTCTTTTATGTTTTTTATTGTTTTATCAGACCATCTAAGTGGTTTTCCAATTCTATAAAGATATAAATTTAAAGAAGATTAGCTTGTGTTTATAAATGTATTTTTCTTTCTTAAACTTCATGTCAATAATCCATTTTAAAATTATGAATCTAGGTAAAATTCGCTTTTTTTTTCTGAGACAGAGTCTCACTCTGTTGCTCAGGCTAGAGTGAGTGCCGTGGCATCATCATAGCTCACTGCAACCTCAAACTCCTGGGCTCAAGGGATACTCCTGCTTCAGCCTCCCATGTAGCTGGGACTACAGGTGCCTGCCGGTGTGCCAAGCCAGTTTTTTTCTATTTTTAGTAGACATGGGGTCTTGCTCTTGCTCACTCTGGTCTCAAACTCCTGAGCTCAAGCAATCATCCTGCCTCGGCCTCCCAGAGTTCTAGGATTACAAGAGTGACCCACTGTGCCCAGTCAAAGTAAAATACACTTAAGATCATTTTTTAAAAAAGCATTAAGATAATTTTATAAAATGAAGATATGTTATGGCAATTCTATATGCACTTACAATACATTAATAATTTATATCCACTTATAATATTTTTAGAATTAAATTCAGTTTCAGTTATTTTTTGTAGCAAAGAATATTGAAAAGACTAGGAAGGAGGGAAGAGTATACATTATGATTTTTATGGGATCTGGCTGTTTTAAATCCTAAAGTGTTCTTCTTTATAAATCTCATTAAATTTTAAAAAATGCAGTTTGATCAGTGGTATCCCATTAGATTTTACTGTACTTACGCATTCCTGAGCATTGTCATCAGAAAATTTATCAGAAAGCTTTTTATAATACATTGATTAGAACAATTAAAAATTATAATTAGAACACTTCAATTGCAAGGGAATTTTCAAAGTAATTTATTAACAATCCATTGTCAATTACACCCATGATGATAAACCGATGAGACTGTCTAAGCGTATATATTACAGTGAGAAACCTACTCCAGATATCTTTACTCATTTAAAAATTCTTGTGAAATATCCAGGCCAAACATATGGGATACGTGGAGACAGAATGTTTGGTTAAAGATGTGCCTTTTTTTTTTTTTCTTTTAATGACAATTCAGGTCAGGTTATTAGTTGACACAATAATACATATAATTTGGCAACGGGGATTTATATGAGGCAGTCGGTCCCTCCTCACGAGATTAATTGAACACCAAATTACCTTAGCTTGAGACCAAAATACATCATCAGCAAGCCTTATACTTCTCCATTGGGTCTTCATTTGTTTATAAAAATGGTAATAAAGCATTTCACTCTAAAAACCTAATGCTCATTATGTTCAATCACAGAGGAGATAATTTAGTGGCCGGTGTCATCGGTAATGTAAACTTAAGGTAGCTTTGTGAATTTGTGCGATGCAAATACCAGACACGGTGGCCTGTGCATTTCTGTCCATGCACGTACATTACATTCAGGAGAACATCAGTGGGTGGGAGACTGTTCGGATTTGCTGCCATCTCTGGAGCACACAGGAACACCTGAAAGTCAAGAGCAGTATTAGCTCTAAAA